TACTGGATTAGGGCCCACACTAATGACCTCATTTTAACTTGATTACCTCTGTAAAGACACTGTCTCCAAATAGGGTCACATTGTTAGGTAGTGGGGGTTAGGACGCTAACATATCTTTTTTTTGGCGAGGGGGATATTTTTCAAGCCATAAGAGCTCCCCTGTCATTTCAAGGTAGTAATCAGTGTGATGACTCCATTTCCCCACAGCAGGGAAGTGGTTTACTTAACAACGAAATGTCAAAGAGGCTTAGCTTTTCGAATCAGACAGGGCAGCTTTGTTAATGCCTCATTTGCTGCTTTTGCCAATAGTCAAGTGAGTGGATCTCTGGTACTCATTGAAAAAAACAGAACAGGTTTAAGAAATAAATAAAAGGAAAGTTTCCGTCAGTGCTTACTGTTAGAAGCCATGACTATTGGTGTCATGAACTGACACCTAGTGAATCAAACACTCTTCAGGAATTAGATCACCAAAGGGAATGTGATGTTTTCTAAATAGTTGCCTAAAATAATTAATTAACTTCACTTAGAAGAGTAACTTACCTTCAGGATGATTTATTAATGGATTGGTGATTCCACTTGTAAATGCTATTGTTGATAAATGGCATTACACTCTTGAGAATTGCTTATAGTCAATGCAATTATCTTTTTTTTTTTTTTTTTTTTTTTTTGAGACGGAGTTCGCTCTTGTTACCCAGGCTTGAGTGCAATGGCGCGATCTCGGCTCACTGCAACCTCTGCCTCCTGGGTTCAGGCAATTTTCCTGCCTCAGCCTCCCGAGTAGCCGGGATTACAGGCACGTGCCACCACGCCCAGCTAATTTTTTGTATTTTTAGTAGAGACGGGGTTTCACCATGTTGACCGGGATGGTCTCGATCTCTTGACCTCGTGATCCACCCGCCTCGGCCTCCCAAAGTGCTGGGATTACAGGCTTGAGCCACGGCGCCTGGCCCAATTATCTCCTTACTTTAACCAGGGTAAATATAATTACTGCAATAAATTAGAGAGGAAACAAGAATATAGAGAATATTAACTTCAAGATGTATTTAATGAAGGAATAACAGCATTATTATTTAATGACTTCACGTTGTGAAGTAGTCACAATCAAAATGGAGTCACTCGTGTTAAAAAAAGAAAAAGACCTTGCATATAGAGCTATGAAGGTTATGAAGAGAGAGTTCTCATGTTTGCATCACAAAGACTCTGCAAAAACTCTTGCACGAAGGCCGTCACAACTTTACACAGAAAATACTTCTGCAAGGACGTCTGCCCAGCAGCTGTCTGCCCAACCTCAGACTGGCACCACCCTTGTTATTGATCTTTGTAGCCAAGGGTAATCATTCCAAAATAATTATGTAATCCTCCTCATTTTTGTTCTTTAAAATGCTTTGTCTTTTTTTTTTTTTTTTTTAACCTCCCTGAATGCACACATAGTTTACTATGGCACATGCGTTCCCACTGCAATGCCCTCCTCCCAAATAAACATCATTTTCTTTTAGAGAGCCTCTCTGTGTTTGTACTTAGTTGACAATATGTTGGTTAAGTCAGGCACTGAAGAAGTAAAACTGATGGAATCATAGCCAGCTATTGCCTAAGGAGGGCCAGATTTGCAAACGATGACTGTGAACATTATTTTTTGGGATTCCTGGTCTTTACTTCATCAAAACTTGAATGATATGGAGCAAGGTAGAGAAAAGCGTGTGGAGTCTAGCTCTGCTGCCATTTGTGCAAAAAGTATATGGAGAGGTTATCTGTAAATTGTCTATGTCTACACATCTCAGGAAGGACACAGGAGAAAGTCCTCGCTAGGGACCCGAGGCCTGGGAAGAGGAGGACTAAGATCTCACTGTACGCTGTTTGCGTGGTTTTATTGTTCAGTTTATACTGGACCCCTTGATAACATCTGTTTTAACAAGTAGCACATGTTTCTGACAACTGCAGACCACACAGCTAAACTAGCTAAGGACGCCCAGGCTGCAGGTTGCCCCAAGAATCCTTCCAGCCTCCTTTTCCCTGTGCTAATCCTGGGGCTGCTTCTGGACAAGATCTGAAATTTAGCTTTAGTTCATTTTGAGGTGTATTCGCTCTCCTTTCAGCAGCTGCCTCCTTTATCCTCATCAGAAGCTAAGGCACTTCTTTCAAGTTTTGAAGAATTGAAATTACAGGCCTCATAAAAACTGGGGCGAGAGACATTTGACTTGTTGCATCCTAAGGCTTTAGTAACTAGAAAGGTTTAGCTCTCTTTATGAGGAATTTTGGCTTTTAAAATCCCTTGTCTAATTTTGCTTTTCTTATATATTTATTTTTGGGAATGTGCATTTTATCAAGTGCGAATTTAGGAATCTTAGATTACTAGAGATAAAAGAATCTTGCATTTTAGACTCCTCATTTGTAAAATGGGACAATAAATGCACGTGTTGTACAAAAGTCATAAAGACTTCTTGAGAAAGTGCATAGATAGCATTCTGGGTAGATTCTGGCTCATTTTCAAGACTCAGTGAATGTGAACCATTATCATCATGATGGCAGCGGAAACAACAGCCATTTTTCCCCTCATCCCCACTGAGAAATTTTAGGTGAAAAATTATAAAGAATGTTCTAGTAACTAGAGCTAATCAACAGGGTAATTAGAAGGTGGTGACCTTCCTTTCTTTAGTGGTACTGGAGCAGAAACTTGTCATATTGGGAATGTTCTTAGTGGAAGGGTCTGTGTGAGACAGATTATGAGCTATATGACCTCTTCCAGCCAAATGAGAAAGTCCAGCCACTTAGTGGTATTTTTTTTTAGATTATAGTGTGGTAGTGCCAGGAGGCCCTGACCTCATTCCAGCTAAGGTCCCCTCATTTCTCTCATTAGTGTTCCCAGGGCTAGCCCTAGCCACAAGGACCAGGACAGTTTGCCCCACTATTTGTTGAAAAAAAATACAGCCATCTGGAAACACAGTATTTATGGAAACCCAGACTTCTGTTCTTTTTCTTTGGCTCATCTTAAAAGCTGGAAGATGTAAAGTGTTGATCTTGGGTCAGGACAGTTGATCTAAGGCCTTTATTGAAATTAGCAAAAAGCAATTGCAAATAAATTCCTAAAACAACTAACAACAGCAACAAATGGACAAAATTCATAACAAAAAAAGAAAGAAGGCAAGGAAAAAAGAAAGAAAGAAAATCAAGAAATCTAGTTAGAAAAGTTTAAGGATCTGGGGAGTGATGTTTAAGTGCCTTTATTATTTCATCATGAGTGAGAAAATTTTGAAAATAGGATATAGGAAAACTGAAAGGGGTATATCTTTATATATTGTTCTTATGTATAATTGATATTGGCCGGGTAAGACTAATGTTGGATTAATTTAATAACGATCTTGTTTTTTGTTGAACCAGAATCAAAGTTTAGGGAAATACTGTACAAGACTCAAATTCTTTTTTTTTTTTTTTTTTTGAGATGAAGTCTCACTTCTTGCCCAGGCTGGAGTGCAGTGGCACTGTCTTGGCTCACTGCAACCTCTGCTTCCTGGGCTTAAGCCATTCTCCTGTCTCAGCCTCTGGAGTAGCTAGAATTATAGGCCCTTGCCACTATGTCTGGCTAATTTTTGTATTTCCAGTAGAGACAGAGTTTTGCTATATTGGTCTAGGAACGAATCAGGCAAGAGCTGTGATGTGGTTCCTGCTTGAGCAGGTGTTATATGCAGAAAAGAAAAAAAAGAAGCCTGGAAATTCTGCTAAACCAGAATCTGTACTAAACCTCTGGCTGTAATGGTACCTCATCTACTAGGATAGAAATTACCCATTTTTTTCTGTTTAAAAATGAATTGCAGAGTTGAAGAAGAATGTTAGCATTAGGAATATAAAATTATTTTATTTTTCAACCTGCAAAGACTCACAAACGTCTTGGTCAGCTTTGTCCTATAATCTATGGCTTAGATTGAGTTATCATAAATGTAAAAATGTTTTTCATTTTGAGAATGTTTAGCTGTTTTCTCCACATTGATGGGACTGTGATCTCTTGTGTTCTTGAGAACTACTGGGTTTAATAGTGTGCAGAAGAGCCAAACTGGTCATTTTTTAAAGAAGTTTCCTGGGAATTTTTCTCATTAACTATTGGTCAGGGTGAAATATTGGTCATTAAGTGTTGGTCAACGCTAAGATAACAGAAGTTACAGAGTTTCTGAAGAGATTTTAACTAGAAGAGATGCTTTTCAGGCTGGATAGCTTAGACATGTTCTGCCTGTGAGCAGAGAAGTGGACTCAGTGATCCACATGTTCTGTTTATTCTGTTCCCCTGGGCCCAGCTTGGCTTGGCGTGGAGGTGGGCTACTTTGCAATGGGCGGTATGAAATCATTACAGTAACACTGCTCAGTCTCGGGGAGGCTGAGAGCAGAGCCAGAGCTGGGGAACCCTCAGGAAGATCTGAAAGGCTCAAGGAAGTTATGAGACTTTGACTGACACACTGACAGCATAACTAACAGGATGGGCAAGCTTGATATTTTTGAAAAAACTTACTTGTTTTAGAGACAGCGTCTTGCTCTGTTGCCCAGGCTGGAGAATAGTGGTACATTCATAGCTCATTGCAGCCTCAAACTCCTGGGCTCAAGCCATCCTCTTGCCTCGGACTCCCAAGTAGCTAGGACTACAGACACATGCCAACATACCCAGCTCATTTTTATTTTTTAAATTTGTTTTTGTTGATGGGGCCTCTCTGTGTTGTTCAGGTTTGTTTGGAAGTGATCCTCCTGCCTTGGCCCCCTAAAGTATTGGGATTACAGGCATGAGCCACTGCACCTGACCAGCTTGATCTTGAGTAATAAATTGACCCTTAGAAAGACTAATATAGAGTAATTTTTGTGTTCATTCAACAAATGTCTATTGAACATTGATCTGTGTGCCAGTGATGTCCTAGGTAAGGGAATACAAAGATAAGCAAAGCATCATTCTTCCTGATTTCATGGAACTTACGATACAATTCTGGAGACCAATATTAACTAACCATATGCATATATAATTACAGACTGTGATGAGATTCCTGAAGCAAATTACAGGGCGCAGTGAGAGTGTACGAGATGGGAACCTACCTGGATAAAGAAGTGGTGGTCAGAATTTGAAATTGAAGCCTCAGGGTTTCCCTGAGGATGGTTGAGATCTGCAGGACAAAGAAACTAGAAAACCAGGTAAGATAGAACTTTCCAGGGAGAAGCGTGGGAAAGGTGCTGAGGGGGCCAAGTGAAGAGAATAGTGCTATAAAATGAGGCTAATGAGGAGTATGGGACAATCGGGTTCACATCATACATTTTAGTCTTCAGCCAAAGTGCAAAGGGAACACGTTGAAGATTTTAAGAAAGCAGCGACAGAAAGAGTAGAATGATTGGATTTTAATTTTGAATAATTCTGACTGCAATAAGGAGAAATCAGTGATGGTGCACAAGGGTGGAGATGCTATAGTAGAAACAAGAGATGATGGTACCTTGAACAGGTGATCGCACTGGAGATGAAGAGAAGTAGACAGACTCCAGATCCCTATGGAGATGAAATTGACAATAGCTGGTGCTGGACTGGGAAAACATCTGTGGAGTGGGTAAGACAGCAACTCCAGATTGGAATGTATTGTGGATGCCCAGAGGAAGGACACACTTGGATGTTTGGATCAGATCAGAAGGAGGGTTTGGGAGGATCTCTTGGTCTCTACAAACTAAGTGGGAAAAATCCTTCAAGCTAGATGTGGTGGAGGACAACATCTCTGTTCAAATTGGCCATGCATTCCTGGAGAAGGTCCTCTAAGGCTTCCTGAGTACTGGCCTTAGCCTTGGATTATATCAAAAAGGCTCTATGAAGGAAGGAATTGCATCCATTACGTTCCTTATTATAGGCCAGTACTGTGAAGAACATCTATCGTGGTCAAAATATGTTTCCTCAAATATTTACAGATAAAAATTGGATAGGTATTTCTCCCAAAAGAACAGTGAATTAGAAGTGATTATGGCAAGATGGAGAGAAGTCTAGGAACCCATGCCCAAGATGCCTGACACTGTGACTGTCTGATATGCTCATCCGTCCCTTTCTCCCTACCACACAGGTCTTGTGTCTCTGTAGAGACTTATGCCTCTAGGCCCCCAACACCCCACCTTCTCATTTATTTTAAAAACCTTTAAAATTGCTTAGGTGAATGTATTTGGTATTATTTTGGAATAATATCATGCTTGGTGACATTTGTTCCTAAGGAGAGAAGTTTTTGGTGGGATGAAACAGGGAGTTACAAATTGTAGTTACTGGAAGGAATGAACAAAGAATTCAGGTCTAGGCAAAACAAAGGAAGTAACACAGTTAGAGAGGCCCAAGAATATGACAGACGGTTGGAAGCTTGGCAAAGTTCCTTCAGATTCTAAAGATCTTGGCAGCCCTGGGAGGTCTGGAAAGTCAGGGAGCAGCTTGTCAAGAATTGTAAAGCAGTGAAATGAAGCCAAGATGTGAATTTAAGGCAAGGAAGGGCCCCAGCAAATAACACTGGTGAACTTCACCTCCAAGGACAGACTGTGGGGTGGTCAACTGCAACAAGAAGAAACCAGAGATCTACATGTGGCTGTCTCTGGGGCTGGGTCCAAGATGGGGATGACTTCCCAGGCAGGCAGGCTAGCTAACTTTGTCTGAGAATTCTTCCATCTCATTTTTGCTGTAGTTGTTTTTCATTTTGATGCAAAAAGGATGAGTATATCCTGCTTCAGAATTATGAAATGTATGTCCAAGTGGATTGACACCATTTGTAACTTGATTTTTCAGTCACCAATATGTTGTAAACTTGAAAGGAAAAAAACTACCTTATAATCAGATATTTCTAGAAAGGTGATAAAAATGAATAGAATTATTAATACCTTCAAGTGGACATGATTTCAAGCAGCAGATATTAAATATATTTTCTTTTCTTTTCTTAATTTTGAGACAAGGTCTTGCTCTGTCTTCCAGGCTGGAGTGCAGTGGCATGATCACAGCTCAATGCAGCCTCAGCCTCCTGGCTCAATGATGCTCCCACCTCAGCCTCTGAAGTAGCTGGGACTACTGATGCATGCTACCATGCTCAGCTAACTTTTTATTTTTTTGTAGAGACAAGATCTCATTATATTACCCAGGCTGGTTTTGAACTCCTGGGCTCAAGCAGTCCTTCTGCCTTGGCCTGCTGGGATTATAGGTGAACTTTCTTTGCAATATGTTAAGCATGTGTGTATATACATGTGTGAGTCTGTGGGAGTGTGCACACTTGCACATGTGCATTAGCTAATTTCTGTAGCTCTTTTACACTATGTTATTATGCAAAAAATGTTGCATTGTGCCACTACAGTCTTCTTCTTATAAATATCCTACAAACCTTTGCAAGTGGTTCTGGCTGCTGGAATCAACAAACATCTATTTAGGGAACTCTTTCTTTTGGATGGGGTGTGGGCCCAGGGTCAGTTTAGAACCATGGATACAAGCAAGATGCAGATCAAATCCCACTGTAATCATAGGCTAAAGAAAGCCTTTTAATTTAGCTCTGTATCTTCATGGGGCTTGAAAGACACCTCAAATGCAGGATTTCCAGCCCTCTCAGGTATAAGTTGTGTCACATAGTCTGGGTCTTGTTACATTTACAATCACAAGAATGAACCAGTTGCCCTACATTTTTCTTCTTTTGGAATGAGTAATTACCATGTCATGATATTTTTCCACCAGAAAACTGTGTGCATCAATGTTCTTAGTGGCCTTGAATAGGATGTTCATCCGCCATAGCTCCCTCTAGGAAGGCTTGTCTGTGTGTTGAAGAGTCTCTCTCCATATATGTGAATATATATATATGTATATATAAATTATACATATAATTACATATGTAATTTTTGTGTGTATAATATATATTTATGATGTATAATTTTACATATAATTTATATAAAAATACATGTAACAAATGCATATATTTTTTATGTGTGTTCTTCTTTACTGTCCTCTTATTCCTTTTCCTATATTTTTGTTTCCTTCTCTTTGCAGTTCCATCTAGTGTTTTACTGCTGTCCTTAGCTTATGCTAGTGTCACACAATGCCTGATCACCCTTTGTTTTCCTGTCCTTTTCAACGATTATCAGGACTGAGCTTCAGTACTTCAGAGGCATTTTCAGCAAGATAACAGAACATATCTATCCACTCATGAAAATGTTTGACTCATCTTTAATATTTAGATAAGAGATGATACTCAACATCCACAGGTTACTCTAAATGCTGGGGACCATAAGCATGGAGCAGGCCACAGAGAAGATCATTTGGAATGGGCAAGTCTTTCCATTTCCCTTAACGTCATACCAAGCAGACAAAGCCTAAATATAGGGCAGGACTTGCCTATGTGATGCACCATTCCAGTTCTTCTTTTCTGAGAAAACTTGAGCAGGGACCCTGGGACACCCCCAGCGATGGTGGGACTCCCTTTTGTAATCCAAAGAAGCACAATCTAAATAAGTCCAGGTTGGAGCAGGTAAGGATAAAGGAGACGTGCTCTTGAAATCAGCCAATCGCATAGCCTGGAGCAGGTGTTTGTCGTCAGCTGAATCACACTGCCTTGGGATTAGCCAGCTCTGCTTTCTGTTTCAACAATAAAAAGTCTTGCAAGACAGCTGGCATGTGAGACAGAGGTATCCAGAAAATTTTGGCGTCTTTTCCAGCAGCATAGTGAGTCTTAGGGAAAAGACTTGTTAGAGCGTGGTCCATGCACTCTACCACCAGAGAGAGGTCCATGTTCACAAAGGATGTATTGCCCTTCAGTTTGTCTAGACCTAAAAGGAGACAAAAGCACATTTACTCTTTGGAAGAAGGAGAAAGCAGAGTGGAAGTCTAGGGAGCAAAGGATAGGAAATATACAAGGGTATTTGTTCTGAATTGTCCATTATAATTGTGGCTCCTTAAGAGGATTTACTATCTATTCCTCAGAAAAGATTACTGCAGTGCTTTCTTTAGACCAGAGGCTCTCAAGATTGGGTGGGCAGTAGAATCTACTGGAGAGCTCATTAAAACCCAGGTTTCTGGGTTCCACCTCCAGAGTTTCTGACTGAGGTATGAGCTGGGGCTCAAGAACGTGCATTTCTAACAAATTTCCAGATGATGCTGATGCTGCTGATCCCGGGATCAAGCTTTGAGAGCCAGTGCTTTAAAGCAATGAAGAAATGATACTTCATAAAGCCCAAGAGGCTCCTAAGCCTAGAAAGTTGTATGTTTGATTTCTAATTTGTTTTAGGGGATTCTGTATCTATGGAAATTGTGGGTTGCACATGTGCTTGTGCATGTATGTGCATGCAATATGTGGATGTGAGTGTACAGTTGTATGCCGCAGGCCTTTATGATTCTGTAAATAAAGAGAGACTCATCCCCAAATGTACTGACTCAGGAAGGTAAAAGGATCCCAGTTCTCATGCAATGAAATGTTTGAATAATGAGTGGAGGTACCTTTAGAGAGGCAGGTATTTTACAAGGGATTGGTGGTGGTTTAGAATCCCAGTCTTTTCAACACATGGTATTGGGAAAACAATAGATCCACATGCAGAACAATGAGACTGAATCTTACACCTTATAAAAAAATCAACTCAAAATGGATTGAAGAGTTAAACATAAGACCTGAAATTATAAAACTACTAAAAGAGGCCTGGCGTGGTGGCTCATGCCTGTAATTACAGCACTTTGGGAGGCTGAGGTAGGAAGATCACTTGAGCCCAGGGAGTTCACGACCATCCTGGGCATCATAGTGAGACCTCAACTCTATTTATATTAAGAAAAAAAAAAAGCTACTAGAAGAAAACATAAAGGAAATACTTCTTGACATTGGACTGGGCAAGGATTTCTTTGGATATGACCTGCAAAGCACAAAACTAAACAAAAGCAAAATGAGATAAGTGGGATTGTATTATACAAAAAAACCTTCTCCACAGCAAAGGAAACAGTTAAAAGAGTGAAGAGACAACATATAGAATGGGAAAAATATTTGCAAACTTTACGTCTTATGCACAGTTAATATCTAAAATACATAGGAAACTCAACAGCTAGAAAAGAAATAAGCTGATTAAAAAATGGGAAGAAAATCTGGATAGACTTTTCTCAAAAGAAGATACAAATGGCCAACAGGCATATGAAAAAAATGTCTGTCATCACTAATCATCAGGGAAATGCACATTAAAACCACAATGAGATATCACTTCACATTTGTTAGAATGTCTATTATCAAAAGACAAAAGACAGCAAGTATAGACAAGGGTGTGGAGAAAAAAGAACTCTGTATACTGTTGGTGGGAATGTAAATTAGTACAGCCATTATGGAAAATGGCATAGAGAACTTTAACCAAGTCAGGAAGTATGTGGTGGAAGGGAAGCCCTGATAACAGGAGTCTGACCAAAGCCCTTAATGCCTTGTTCACATTATCGCGCCATGGCCAAGCAGAAATGGCAGGGGCAGGCTGCTTGGGTCCAAATCTAGCTCTTCCGCCCACTGGTGGTGCAATTTTGGTAACTTACTTCTCTATGCCTCTATTTCTATAAAATAAAGATGATAATAGAGTTTATTTAGGGACTTTAAATGAGCATCCATGTAACGCTTGGTGTTAGAATGGTGACAAGTGCTTAGAAAATATTTACTATTTGTTAGCTATCACTATGTCTTTATTATTATTCTCCCATCTTTGACTCAATCTCTTGACTTATATTACCTCTCTTTCCATCTCGTCCTCCATGTGTTTCTGCTCCAGAGACTTTCTACCCAAATAATTCTTTCCTATCCTTAAGGTCTTATTCAAACCTGACCTGCCCCATTCTTAACCAGCATTGCTCTTTTCCTGGTCCGAATTCCCTGGCAATTAGAAACCACAGCATCTAGCACCACTTCTGGGCTATTGGATTACACCAAGAAGTAAAGGCTCAGTTTTATGTGTGCTGCATTGCTTCATTGTTTTACATTCGCGCTTGTTTACTTCCTGTTGTGAACTAGATTGTAAACTAGTTAAGGGTCAGAGGCTGAACCTTCTCTATCTTTGTAACCACCATAAATCCTTACACAATGCCAAGTGTACAGCTGGTGAGGAGGTATGGCAGAGGCGAAGATGTGGGCTCGAGTCGCCTGCCTGGGCTCAGGTCCAGGCATGACTAGGAGGTGTTGTGTAATCTTGGGCAGGACATTTCACTTTTCTAAGCCTCTGCTCGTTATTCTAATACATTTTGAGGAGTAAATGATATAATTCATAAGGTAGTTAGCAGATAACTTGGCTGTTTGTAATTGCTCAGGAAATGTTTATAAACAGAAGCGAGAGATGGCACTGAAATTAACAGGAGATCCCTGATCCATAGTTAAGATCCTTATTGGGGTATTACTCTGAGAGCCTTGTTATTTCATCTGTATTTGAATCTCCTTCATGCTGTGCAGGAAAAGGAATTCCCGAGGACTCTGGCCCCACCCAGAAACTCACTTTTTTCAATGTAACCTTCTCCATATTGTCGTTTGATGTCTGGAGACAGTTGCTCCCAAATGGCGAGTTTCTTTTCAAGTGTCTTTACTGGATCTGCCAAGTTTGTTTTGAATAATCCTGGTTCAATGCATGATACGTGCACACCGAAAGCTTTCATGTCCCGTCTGTGAAAAGAACCCATTGAAGATGTTTAATCCAGGTTCGTTCAGAAAATACTTGCTATTTGGGTGATGATTTTCTCATGAATCTTTTCATGGAATCACAGATTTGGGTGCATTGGAGATCATTATCTTATTCTCCCTCTCATTTTGCAAGTGAGGAAACAGGTTGAGAGCGGTGAAGTGAGGGCTAGTTAACAGCAGGACAGGAGAGGGATCTGGGTGGACCCACCCCCTGTCCACTGTTGTTTCTCCTAGAGTGTTCTCCATGCTCTCATCATTAACTTAGTGAGCATTCAGGTTAAGAACAGGTTTCTTATCGGTACTTAAACCACCGTATGGTGAAATGAACTAATGATAGCCTGGATGGACAAGTTCACCTCCATTCTAGGAACATAAGGAGATTGCAGCACAAATGAGGACATGCTGAAGGACACAGTACGATAATCCCTGACGTGACTAACCTGCTCCCTGTGCTGTTGAGCAAGCTTGTTTTTTTTTTTAATCATGCTGTTGCAGAAAACCAAAAGCCTACTCATTCCCTAGGCATCGAGGTTTACAGGAATCATGGTGCCCTTTCTTTAAAGCAAACCAATATGCAGATGCTCCTTGATTTCAGATGGGGTCATATCTTGATAATCTCACTGTAAGTTGAAAATATCCTAAGTCAAAAATGCATTTAATATCCCTAACCTGCCGAACATCACGGCTTAGCCTACCCTGCGTCCAACGTGCTCACTTACACTGGCCCACAGTGGGGCAAAATCATCTGGCCACACAGGGCCCTGCAGGACAGTGGTTCTTTACCCTGTGATTGGGTGACTGACTGGGAGCTGGGGTTCCCTGCCACTGCTCAGCATTGCAAGAGAGTATTGTACCGCATATTGCTGCTGGCAAAAGATAAAATTCCAAATTCTAAGAAAATTTTATAATGCATGCATCTCACTTTGACACCATTGTAAAGTCGAAGAGTCACTTTTAGCATTGGAAGTCAGGGACCACCTGTATAAAAACTAGGGTATGAATAAATGACTTCTATTTCTACCAGGAATATATAATAAAAGGAAGTATTTATTCATTTTGTAGAACTCTTCATAGGATTTTTTAAAAAGCTCTATTAGTGATCTTATAATGTAATTTATTTTCTCTCAGGTTCTCCTTTCTACCAACATTACTATTGTAAAGTTTGAAATATATTTTACTAAAAATGCAAGTTAACTTGACCTTGAAAGATTCTGAAAGCTATATGACTTGTACTGAAATTAAAAAGATTATTTCCCAACTTATGTTTTATTTACCTGTTGTCTGATTTCCTTTAGATAGTGGAAATAGCAGTGCCAAGAAGCTGTTGAGGAAGACTGTTCTCCCAACCGACTCATGAAAACAACATACTAGGGACAAGTGGCTTAAGCCCTCTGACTAAGCTTACCAGGTAAGTAAAAAGCATATGAAATCAGCATGCATGCTGGGAACATGCAGCTTTAAGGAGCCCAATCCTCTCTCAGATGGACTGCTGCCCCTAAACCCCCTACATACCAAAATTGTGGAGTTGCCACTGGATTGTGGCCTACCTACACACCATTTAAAATATTAGTCCCATGATTCATTTAAGAAAAAAACTCTTAATTGATTCGTTTGAGGCATGGCATAGCTGCATGGCAAAGCTCACAAATCCTTCAGTTGAAATCTTTTTTAAATGTGAGTAAATCTCCAAGTACATGTATTAAAATTTTATTATGCTACTGCTGCTTGTAGAGTGGAACCAAAGGTCAATGAAAGAGACTAATGACCAAAGGTCAATGAAAGAGACTAATGACAGAAGGTCAATGAAAGAGACTTCATGACCTTGCTACTCAAAGTGTGATCCCTGAACCATGGGCAGAACCTGGAGCTTGTTAGAAATGCAGAGTCTCAGGCCCCTCTTCAGATCCACTTAATCAAAATCTGCATTTTAAAAAGATCTACTTAATCAAAATGTGCAGGTGATTCAAATGCACATTAATTTTTTGGAAGAGTTACTCCAATATTATTGTGTTTATTTCCTAGGAGCGTCGAACTTGGCAACCTGATCAATTGGCAAAATGGTATTCCTCTATCTTTATTAATTTTAGTGGAATATTTTTAACCTTTTATTAGTAAACTAAACCTAGGTCCATGGTTTAGATCATAAACTCTAACTATGTCTTCAACAAATAATAGTTGAATAAATAAATGGATGAATGGAAGGAAAGACTATATGTACCTAACTTGGTCTTCTCACTTGCCTGTGGTAGCACCACTCAACTGAATACCTTCCATGTGCTTCTCTAGTCCTTTCCTCCACCCTCTGTCTGCACATATCCTGGGAGGCTTACCTGCACTAACTATACTCTGGCTTCTGTCAAGTTCAGTCTATTGAAAGTGCCAGTGGGAGATCAGAAAAGAGGTGAGGAGGTCAGATTAGTTATCCTCCTGTGGTGTCAACACTGGTTATTTGATCTCATAACTGAAGACAACAGCCTCTGTGTCTCCAGGTTCTGGAAAGTGCCCTATCTCTTTGTCCCTTCAGTCCTCTGAAGAGAAATGCCCCTACTGTCATTAGCTCCTAGATACTATCCTTTGGGATTTTGGTAGGTACCTCACAAATGTTTATAAATAGTCTTTTAAGCAAACGTTGTGCCTTTTACCCAGTTTTAATGTGCCACCATTTCCTGCCAGAATCTTGACTGAAAAAATACTTGTACTTGAGGGGATTTGAACTGGTGGTGGTAAGTTCTGGTTCCAGTTAAGATGGATTAAGCACACTTCCCCCAGTCTCCTCCATGGAATGAAGCTGTAAAGCTTGGACAGCATGCATGGAGAAGCTATTTAAGAACTGGTGATTTTCTACTGAAGGTTTAAATAGGATGGTACTGTTGTTTCTGCAACTGATGGTAAACCAACAGAGAAGCCTATTCCGATCTAGCCTCTCTAAATGAGCTGCTAACTATTTGACAAACTGATCAGTTGAATATAAATGTGCTGCCACTCTAAGCATCATGTATTAAGGCAAAAAGTAAAAAGGATTTATATTTGGGTTCAAATCTTGGTTCTACCACTTACCAGCTGGGTGACCTTGTGCAAGTTAATTAATCATTTTTAGTTTTAGTGGCATTATCTATACATTGGGAATAACTTAAAGTAGAGCAGGATGAACAAATAGAAGCCTTTACTGATCATCCTCCCCACAGAAACACCAAATTAAAAAACCCCACAAAAAACTTCATAAAACCACAACTCAGAAGAGTGATCACAGTACCTAACTTTAACTTCATATCACTGAGAGAGGCCCTGAAGAGGGCTGGAAAGATAGTCTTGAATTGTTGATGTTACTCCTCCTTCATAGACCAGCAGTGACCGTCTATGTGTGCCATGGAGACAGAGTCTGCGTACTTGGGGTGGTAGGGAGAGCACAGGGATTGTGGGACATTGCATTGGAACTCAGTGCCTCCCTGTCACAGTGGAAAGCAACACCAGGCAGAACTCAGTCAGCACCCACGGAGGGAGCATTCACACCAGCCCTAGCCAGAGGAGGAATTGCCCATTTCAGCAGATGGAATCTGAATGCCAGCAAGCCTCACCACTGTGGGCTCATGTGCTCTGGGGTTCTAAATAAACTTGGAAAGCAGTCTAGGTCACAAGAACTGCAATTCCTGGGGAAGTTCTGGTCCTGTGCTGGCCTCAGAGACAGTGGACTTAGGGGGGCAAGCAACCTAGTAAGATGACAGCTTGGGCAGCCAAGGGAGTGCTTGTGCCACCCCTCCCTCAACCCCAGACAGCACAGCTCACAGCTCTGGGAGAGACTTCTTCCCTCTGCTTGCAGAGAGGTGAGGGGAGAATAAAGAAGACTTTGTCTTGGGACTCGGTTACCAGCTTAGCCACAGTGGGATAGGGTACCAGGTAGAGTCCTGAGGCTCCTATTCCAGGTCCTACCTCCTAGACATTTCTAGACTAGTCTTGGGTTCAGAAGGAAACCCATTGCTTTGAAGCAAAGAAACTAGTCCTAGAAAAATTCATTGCCTGCTGGCTAAAGAGCCCTTGGGCCCTGAAAAATCAGGAGCAATACCCAAGGTACTCACCATGCGCCTTGGGTGAGACTCAGAGACATGCTGGCTTCAGGTGTGACCTAGGACATTCCCAGCTATGGTGGCCATAGGGGGAGACTCCTTGTGCTTCAGAAAAGGAGAGGGAAGAGTAAAGGAGACGTTGTCTTGTAGCATAGGGGCCAGAGCTTGGTTTGGACACAATGGGGTAGATCACCAAGTGGGCACTTAGGGTCTCCAGTTCCAGGTCTTGGCTCTTAGATGGCATCTCTGGACCTATCCTGGGCCAGAGGGGAGCCTGGTTCCCTGCAATGAGAGTCTCAAGCCTAACAGCATTCACCCAGCTGATTGAAGAGGCTTTGGGCTTTGAGTAAACAATGGTGGTAGCCAGGCAGTACTTGCCGCAGGTCTGAGGTGGCGGTGGCCATGGTGAGACTCGATGCTTTTGAAAAGGGGAGGGAAGAGAGGGAAAAAGTTTGTATTGTGGTTTGGATGCTGGCTCAACCACAGTAGAATATAGCACCAGGCAGAGTCCTAAGGTTTCTGACTCCAGGCCCTGGCTTCCAGTTGGCATCTCTGGGCACCCCACCCAGGGGTAGGGGGAACTTGTCACCCTGAAGGGAAGAACACAAGCCTCATTTCACCACCTGCTAATTGTAGATCCTCAGGGCTTTGAGCGAACATAGGCAGTAGCCAGGTGATGTTACAGAGGGCCTTGGGTCTGACCCAGCACAGTCCCAATGATGGCGGTCAGGGGTGCTTGTGTCACTCTTCCACCAGCTTTAGGCAGCTTAGTATGTGGACAGAAGCTCTACTTGTTTGGGAGAAAGTAAGGGAAGAGGATAAGAGTCTCTGCCTGGTAAACCAGATAATTCTTCCAGATCTCATCCAAGACCTGCAAGGTAGTACCTCTGTGAGCCTACAAGAGGCACAGTCTTACTGGACTTGGGGTGCCACCTAATGAAGATATATGGCTGCAGGAACCAAAAAGTTAAATCACAACACCCAAGTCCCTTTAAATACCTGGAAAGTTCCCTAGAAGGTTGGGTACCAACAAGCCCGTACTAACTCTTCAATGCACAGACATAAAAAAAATGTATCTACAAGCATCAAGACCACCCAGAAAAACATGACCTCACCAAATGATCTAAATAGACACGAGAGACCAATCCTGGAGAGATAGAGACATGAGACCTTTGAGACAGAATTAAAAATAGCTGTTTTGAGGAAATTCAATGAAATTTAAGATAACACAAAGAAGGAATTCAGAATCCTGTCAGATAAATTTGACAAATAGACTGAAATAATTAAAGGGAATCAGCAGAAATCCTGGAGTTGAAAAATGCAATTCACATACTAAAGAATGTGTCAGCCCCCTACCAGCAGAACTGATGAGGCAAAAGAAAAAAATCAGTAAGCTTGAAGACAGGCTATTTGAAAATACACAGTCAGAGGTGACAAGAGAAAATAAGAAAGAATGAAGCATAGCTACAGAATCTAAAATAGCCTTAAAAGGGAAAATCTAAGAGTTAGTGGCTTTATAGAGGAGGGGGAGAGAGAGAGAGAGATGGGGTAGAAAGTTTATTCAACAGAGAACTTTCCAAACCTAGAGGAAGACACCCAAGTTCAAGTACAAGAAAGTTATAAAACACTAAGCAGAATTAACCTAAAGAAGACTGCCTCAAAGCATTTATTAGTCAAGCCCCCAAAGGTCAAGGATAAAGAAAGGATCTTAAAAGCAGCAAGATTTGTTTTGGAGATTCCTCAAAAACAGATAACATACAATGGAGCTCCAACCCAAACTGGAAAGGAAGAAGTCAAATTATCCTTGTTTGTAGATGATATGATCTTATATTTGGAAAAACCTAAGACTCCACACACATAAAACTATTAGAACAAATAAATTCAGTAAAGTTGCAGGATACAAAACTAGCATATGAAAATCAGTAGCATTTCTATATGTCAACAGCAAACAACACCAGAAAAGAAATCATGAAAGTCATTCCATTCACAATAGCTAAAAATAAAATAAAATTCTTAGGAATTAACCAAAGAAATGAGAGATCTCTGCAATAAAAACAATAAAACATTGATAACAGAAATTGAAGAGGACACAAAAATATGAAAAGATATTCCACGTTCATGGATTGGAAGAATCAGTATTATTAAAATGTTCATAATATCTAAAGCAATCTACAGATTCAATGCAATTTATATCAAAATACCAATGACATTCTTTACAAAAATAGAAAAAGAATCCTAAAATTTATATAGAAACATAAAAGACGTAGAGTAACCAAAGCCATTCTGAACAAAAACAATAAAACTAGGGGAAATCACATTACATGACTTCAAATTTTCTATAAAGCTATAGTAAACAAAACAGCATGGCACTGGCATAAATATGGACACATAGACCAATGGAACAGAACAGAAAATCCAGAAACAAATCCATACATTTACAGTGAACTGATTTTTGACAGAAGTGTCAAGAACATACATTGGGGAAAGAACAGTCTTTTCAATAAGTAGTTATGGGGAAACTGGATGTCCACATGCAGAAGAATAAAACCAGACCCTTATCTCTTACCATATACAAAAATCATATCAAATGGATTAAAGACTTCAATCTAAGACCTCAGACTACGAAAGTACTACAAGAAAACATTGGAGAAACTCTCCAGAACAATTGGCTGGGTCAAGATTTCTTGAGTAATAGGCCACAATCACAGGCAACTAAAGCAAAAATGGACAAAAGGGATCATGTCAATTTAAAAATCTTCTGCACAGCAAAGGGAACAATCAAAAAAGTGAAAAGACAACGCACAGAATGGGAGTGAATATTTGAAAGCTACCCATATGACAAGGGATTAAAAATCTGAATATATAAGGCACTCAAACAACTCTATGGGGAAAGGTCTAATAATCCAATTTAAAAATGGGCAAAAGATCTGAGTAGATACTTCTGGAAAGAGGATATACAAGTGGAACATAGGTATATGGAAGGTGCTCAACGTCACTGATCATCAGAAAAATGGAAATCAAAAGTACAATGAAATATTATCTTGCCCCAGTTAAAATGGCACATATCCAAAAGACAGGCACTAACAAACGCTGGTGATGATGTGAGAAAAGGGAACCCTCGTGCACTGTTGGTAGGAACATAAATCAGTACAACCACTATGGAAAACAGTTTGGAGGTTCCTCACAAAACTAAAAATTGAGCTACCATGTGATCCAGCAATTCCACTGCTGGCTATATCCTCCAAAGAAGGGAAATAAATATATCAAAGAGATACATACACTATCATGTTTGTTGTAGCACTGTTCACAATAGCTAAAATTTGGAAGCAACCTAAATGTCCATCAACAGATGAATGGATAAAGAAAATGTGGTACATATATGCAATGGAATACTCTTCTGCCATAAAAAACAATGAGATCCTGTCATTTGCAACAAGATGGATGGAACTGGAGGTCATTATGTTAAGCAAAATAAGCCAGGTACAGAAAAACAAAGTTCACATGTTCTCACTTATTTGTGAGAGCTAAAAATAAAAACAAACTCATGGAGACAGAAAGTAGAGTATGATTTTGGCTGTGAGATTTTCGTGGATGTTCTATCAGATGAGAAGATCCCCCTCTGTTCCTCGCAGCTGACAGATTTTTTCATGAAGTTGTGTTGAATCGTTTCAAATGCTTTTTCTGCATGGATTGAGATAGTCTTTTTCTCTTTTATTGTGCTAATGCAGTTCATTATATAAATTGATTTTCTTTGTTTTTTTTTTTTATTTATTTTTTTGAGATGGAGTTATGCTCTTGTTGCGCAGGCTAGAGTGCAATGGCGTGATCTTGGCTCACCGCAACCTCTGCCTCCTGGGTTCAAGCAATTCTCCTGTCTCAGCCTTCTGAGTAGCTGGGATTATTACAGGCATCCACCACCATCCCTGGCTAATTTTGTATTTTTTACTAGAGACAGGGTTTCTCCATGTTGGCCAGGCTGGTCTGGAACCCCAAACCTCAGGTTATCAGCCTGCCTCGGCCTCCCAAAGTGCTGGGATTACAGGTGTGAGCCACTGTGCCTGGCCCATAAATTTATTTTCAAATGTTAAATTAACTGTGCATTGTGGAATGAATGCTGCCTGGTCAGGAAGTATTATCTCTTGTGTTTGTGTGTCACATGCAGTCAGTCATCATTATTTGTGGATCCTGTATTGGTGAATTGCCTACTTACTGAAATTTATTTGTAACCCCAGATCAATACTGGCAACACCTTTGTGGTCAGTCTCTGGCAGATGTGTGGTGTGGCGGGAAAGGTAAACTGCCTGGCTTGCACCTCTCAGGCAAGGTGGGACGATGCTGCTCTGCCTGTCTCCGTTCTCTCACTGAGTACTCCTTTCTCACGGTGTACTTCATGTCATTTCACATCTTTGTGCTTTATGTTGGTGACTTGACTGTTTAAAATGGCCCCTAAATGTAGTGCTGAGGTTCTGTCTAGTGTTCCTAAGAGTAAGAAGGCTATGGTGTGCCTTTCAGAGAAATACAAGAGCTCAAGAAACTGCTCTCAGGTGTGAGCTCTGGTGCTGTTGGCTGTGAGTTCAGTGTTGATGAATGAGCAAGGTAGATTGAATAAGGTGGTGGTCCCCAGGCTTTTCTGGCACCAGGGACTGGTTTCATGGAAGACGGTTTTTCCATGGGTGGTGGGGTAGGGGGCTTGGTTCATGATGAAACCTTTCCACCTCAGATCATCAGGCATTAGCTTCTTATAAGGAGTGTGCAGCCTGTATCCCTAGCAGGTGCCTTTCACAGTGGGATTTGTGCTCCTGTGAGAATCTAAGGCCACTGCTGACCTGACAGGAGGTGGCATTCAGGCAGTGATGCTGGCTGGCCAGCCGCTGGCCTCCTGCTGTGTGACCAGTTCCTAACAGGTCACAGACCGGCAGGTTGGGAACCCCTACAATCACATTTTTTTTTAAAACTTAAATTTGTCCAGGCGCAGTGGCTCATGCCTATAATTCCAGCACTTTGGGAGGCTAAGGCAGGTGATCACTAGGTCAGGAGATCAACACCATCCTGGCCAACATGGTGAAACCCCGTCTCTACTAAAAATACAAAAATTAGCTGGGCATGGTGGCACATGCCTGTAATCCCAGCTACTCAGTAGGCTGAGGCAGGAAAATCGCTTGAACCTGGGAGGTGGAGGTTGCAGTGAGCCAAGATCTCACTATGGCATTCCAGCCTGGGTGACAGAGCAAGACTCTGTCTCCAAGAAAAAGAAAAAAGCAACTTAAGTTTAATTTTTTTTTGAGACAGAGTCTTGCTCTGTCACCTAGGCTGGAGTGCCGTGGCGTGATCTCTGCTCACTGCAGCCTCTGCTCCCGGGATCAAGCAATTCCCATGCTGCAGTCTCCCAAGTGGCGGGGACTACAGATGTGCACCCACACACAATGGCTAATTTTTGTGTGTGTATATTTCATAGAGACCAGGTTTCACCTTGTTCCCGGGTTGGTCTCAAACTCCTGGCCTCGAGAGTGAGTCATCCGCCTCAGCCTCTGGAAGTACTGGGATTACAGATGCGAGCCACTGTACCTGGCTTGCAGTAAGGCATCTTCAATGGTTGATGAAAATGTTGTATTTCCCTGGGGCAGTGATTCCATGTTCCCTGTGAGTACCTGAATTAATGGAAATTAACACATGTGTTTAATCCCTTCCTTCCTCAGTTTGATTAGCTCACATTGATGATTTTTGCATGTATGTTCATGGAGGTACTGGGCTGCCCTTCTATTTTTGTTTGTCTGTGTCTGGTTTTGGTCCCATAGTTGTGCCACTTTCATGAATGTATTTGGAAGTGGCCTTTTTCCTAACCTCTGGAGGAATTTGTATGAGATCATGATTTCTTTCAGTGGTTCTTCAGTGGAGTTATCTGGGCCTGGGATTTAGTTTTATTTCTGTGGAAGGTTTTCAATTATAAGTTCAATTTATTTATTTATTTATTTAGAGACAGAGTCTGGCTTCTGTCACCCAGGCTGGAGTGCAGTGATGTGATCTCCGCTTGCTGCAATCTCTGCCTCCCAAGTTCAAGTGATTCTCCTGCCTCAACCTCCCGAGTAGCTGGGATTGCAGGTACCCGTCACCACACCAGGCTAATTTTTGCATTTTAGGTAGAGATGGAGTTTCACCATATTGGCCAGGCTGGTCTCAAACTCTTGACCTCAAGTGATCCTCCTGCTTTGGCCTCCCAAAGTGCTAGGATTATAGGCATGAGCCACTGCGCCTGGCCAAGTTCAATTTATTTAATGTACACAGCTCTACTTAGAGTTTCTGTTTTGATAGGCTGTGTTTAGGAGGAGTTTATCATGTTCTACATTGTTGACCCTGTTAGCATCAGGCTGTTATCAGAACCTTTTGCTGCCTTCCTAGCATCCTAGGATCTGTAGGATGTCCCTTTTTTTTATTCCTGATACTAGTGATTTGCATTTTCTCCTTTTTCTTCTTCCCCCGCATCAGCCTTCTTAAAGAGTTTTATCAGTTGTATTACTCTTTACAAAGAACTAACTGTAGCCTTGTTCATGTGTCTCTATTGTTGGGTTTCCGTTTTTTGTTAAACATGAGCTTTGAATGAAGAGACTCCCAAACAGGCTTTGTGTGAGCCATGTGGCTGTTTATTCGTGCAGGTGCAGGCGGGCAGAGTCCAAGAAGAGTCAGCACAGGGGTGTGGGATAGGAGTTGGTTTTATAGGTTTGGGGTGGGCAGTGGAAAGTTACAGAAGGTACAGTTCAGGGCAGCTTTTGCAAGCTGGGAGGGGGTCATAGGGTCTGGAGTCATGAGGTTGACCTTGGTCAGTTACAAAGTCCAGTTGCCTCATCAGCCGAGGCAGGAATAAGGAACCATAGAAGAACGTCTCAAGTTAATGAGGCCCTGCAAGGGTTGATCCTTCTTCTCCTTTTTGTGGGTTTCCAGTTACTTCAGACTTTCTAGTTCTAGGAACTTATCTGGAGTATATGTGAAGGTGACAGAGGTTACCATGGCATAGTCCTTGGTGCAGTAAGTCAGCCTAAAAGACCTTACATTTTTTACTTTTTTTTTTTTTTTTGTGACAGAATCTTGCTCTATTGCCCAGGCTGGAGTACAGTAGTGTGATCTTGACTCACTGCAACCTTTGCCTCCTGGGTTCAAATGATTCTCCTGCTTCAGACTCCTGAGTAGCTGGCATTATAGATGTGTGCCACCATGTCCAGCTAATTTTTGTGTTTTTAGTAGAGACAGGGTTTCCCCATGTTGGCCAGGCTGGTCTCAGACTCCTGAGCTTAGATAATCCATCCACCTCGGCCTCCCAAAGTGCTGGGATGAAAGGCATGAGCCACCATGCCCAGCCCTCTTACTGATTTTTAATTGAATTATGCTGTGGTCAGAAAACATACTCTGTAATTTCAGTTCTTTGAAATTAGTTGCGCTTCACATTATGACCAATATTTAATCTATTTTGGTAAGTGTTCTACGTGTTTGAAAAGAATGTGTGTTGTGTGGTTGTTGGGTAGAGTTTTCCATATATTTCCCTCCACGAGTTGGGTAATCGTCGTTCACATCACCTGTATTCTCACTCAGGTGTTTTGGCTGCTTTTCGTATTTACTAAGAGATTTTTAATGACCTCCTCTGATTGTGGATTGTCTGTTTCCCCTTTTAATTCTGTCCATTCCTACTTCATGTTAAGCATACATGTTAAGATTGCTATGTCTTCGTGTTGAATTGTTTCTCCTATCTTTGCTAAATGTCTTTCTGCAGTAATCCTTTTCTTACCATAAATAAGTACTTGATCTGCCGTAAATGTGACTTGGCAGCTTTTTGTAGGTTTGTTCAGCGTTTGCATGGTTTTTCCCATTCTTTTTACCATTCTATATTTTTTATTTGAAGTGTATTGTGTGTAAATGGCACATGTAGTTTGTTTTTTTTTTTTTTGAGATGGAGTCTCTGGAGTCCAGTGGTGCAATCTCCGCTCACTGCAACCTCCACCTCCCAGATTCAAGCAATTCTCCCACCTAAGCCTCCCAAGTAGCCCAGCTGATTTTTGTATTTTTAGTAGAGATGGGGTTTCACCATGTTGACCAGGCTGGTCCAAAAAATCTAGACTTCAAGTGACCTGCCCACCTCTGCCTCCCGATATACGTGTGAGCCACTGTGCCCAACTAGATTTTGTTTTTAATTCAGTCTGATAGTCATTGTCTTTTAATAGAGTTTTTAGTTCATTTGCGTTTTTTAGGTTACTTGTATGTCATGTAATTGTGAAAACAATTGTGTAATGCCACCATTTTGCTCTTTGCTTTCTATTGTGTTCCATCTGCTCTTTGTTGTTCTTGGTTTTTTTTGAGATGGAGCTTCACTCTTGTTACCAAGGCTGGAGTGCAGTGGTGCGACTCAGCTCAGTGCAACCTCTGCCTTCTGGGTCCAAGTGATTCTCCTGCCTAAGCCTACCAAGTAGCTGGGACTACAGGTGTGTGCCACCATGCCCAGCTAATTTTGTATTTTTAGTAGAGATGGGGTTTCACCATGTTGGTCAGGCTGGTCTCAAACTCCTGACGTCAGGTTATCTGCCCTCCTTGGCCTCCCTACATGCTGGGATTACAGGCATGATCTACCACGCCCAGCCTGTTTTTATTTTTAATTTTTTTGTATCTTCTTTTGGATTAAATAGCTTTATTTTGTCCTCTTGTGTCAGCTTATAACTTTTAGTTTAGAGGTTACAATATGAGTTCTTGTCACAGTCTGCTTTGAACTAGAATGTACTTATTTAAAGTGGACTCTGAAGCTCCATGTGGTGGCTCACACCTGTAATCTCAGCACTTTGGGAGGTTGAGGTCACCGGAGGTCAGGAATTCAAGACTTGAATGACCAACATGGTGAAACCCCGTTTCTACTAAAAACACAAAAATTAGCTGGGCATGGTGGTGGCAGGTGCCGGTAATCCCAGCTACTCAGGAGGCTGAGGCAGGAGAATCGCTTCAACCCAGGAGATGGAGGTTGCAGTGAGCCAAGAGAGCATCACTGCACTCCAGCCTGGTGACAGAGGGAGACTCCATCTCAAAAAATAACAACAACAAAACTATATATCACGAGAGGATAACGTTGCTGTTTTAAACAGTGAACATTCTTTGTATTTACCCACGTTTCCTCCAACTTCCAGTTGGGATCATTTCCTTTCAGTCGGCCTGGTGCTTTCTTTCAGCATTATTTTGTCTGAAAAGTCTTGATTTTGCTTTCACTCGCTAAAGAATATTTTCATGGTCATATTTTTCTAGGTTTGCAGGGGTTTTTTCTTTCAGCAGATGAACAGTTTCATTCCATTGCTTCTTGGCTGCCACCGTCTCTGTTAAAAACTCAGAGCCTGTCTTACTGTTTCCTTTGAAATCATCATGCCATTTTCTCTTCTGAGATTTTTTTCCTTTCCTTTTTCTTTTAAAACCAGTTTGATTATGATGTGCCTGTGCACACATGTCTTTGTGTGTCCTTGTGTTTGCCCTGAGTTTCCTGGCTCTGGGGGTTGGTATCAGTCGTCAGTTTTGAAGACTTCTTGGCTCTTGTCTCTGCAGATTTTGTGTGGCTGCCTCATTCTTTGCTTTTTCTGTGACTCATTTGCTTGGCTCTTAGGTTGCTTAACTGTCTTATGCCTGTCCTAAACTGTGCTCTTTCTTTGTAGGCTTTTGGTTTCTTTCTGATTCCACTCATTCTCTCTTGTGCTGTGTTCAGGCTGCTGGTAAACTACTCACTGGGTCCACACATTCGGGTGCTGAATTTTCCAATCCTGGAAGGTCCTTGAAATTCTTTGGTATAAATTTCAAGTCTCTGCAGACACTCTCCAGCTTTTTGTCCATTTCTTTAACATACTAATCCTAGATAGATTGAAGTCTTCATCTGCTGACTCTTAGTATTGGCTGTGTAGACCTGCTTTGTTGTCTGATGTTTTCTTATTTTATTCTGAGACAAGGCCTTGCTATGCTGCCTAGGCTGGAGTGCGGTAGTAAAATCACTGCTCACTGCAGCCTCGACCTCCCAGGCTCAAACGAAACTCCTGCCTCAAACTCCCAAGTAGCTGGAAGTATACAGATGTAGGCCACCATGCCCGGGTAATTCTTGTCTTTTTTGTAGAGACGGGGTTCTGCCATGTTGCCCAGGTTGGTCTCGAATTCCTGGTCTCAAGCAATCCTCCTGCCAGCCTCCCAGAGTGCTGGAATTACAAGCGTGAGCCACTGCACCTGGCCAATAGTATGGGTTGTCTTATTTTTT